CTTTCTTGTACCCCCTGGAAGTTGCTCTGTCGTCTCTGTGGAGCTTTATCTTTACCAGGCTGCACAGCCTCATTTAACACCTTGCCTTTTACTAATTTCCTATAAAATTAGTAAAAACCTACCCCAGCCAAAGAGAACCAGCCACCAAAAATATCTTCTTCCATGAGAAAGGGAGGAGAGCAGCAGGCAGTTCAGGTAGAGAGCCTCCACCAGCAGCCACATGAAATTGGTCATCATGAAGTAGTGGCAGAAAACCACAGAGATCTTGCATTCAGTCTGGGAAACAGAAAAGTCACAGTTTAGGCATTGCTTGGAGATGCATCTCTTTGGTTTGACCATGGAGGAGACATCTGTGATATTGGCTGAGTTCTACCAAGAACAAGATCTCACTATTAACTGATGTTTAAACTGAGAGCTTCAAATGTGAAATGGATTTCTGAGTAGTAAAGCTTTCGCCATCATAACACCTTGGAGTCCCCTCTGCATTTTGCTTTCTATCTCCATGTTAGAAATGTAACTTGGGCTGCCAAGCATGTGAGTTCTCTCACAAATTCACTGCCCTGATTGTACCTTCGCTGTCAAATGCTCCTTGAATAAAGGTTCAAGGTTCCATTTTTCTCCTTGTGCTCAGCTGTAAAATTCTGTGTGGCTCTGAGTAGTGCAGAACCATCCCATAAACCTCAGCTTGAAAACCATTGCCAAGATCTGGGGCTGGATGAATGCTAAATTCATTGTCTGGTATCTTGAGTGCTTTGTCCTTTACAGATCAGAGCTTCCAAGCAGAACAGGAAGCCCAACATTTCCAGAAGAATAAGCTTTAAATGTTGTTCTTTGATGTACTCAGAGATCTTCAATTTTAGATTTCAGGCTATTGACACATAACAGTGTAATGATATTACTTTGTTGCTATGTGAAAGTCCAAATTTCCTTTAGAGTGCTGCAACATCACAAATTGATGCTTTAAGAATATAGGAGACCATAATGTACATATTTATGGCAGTAAAATATACTGAAAGAAAGAATTATATAAATTTCGTTACCAGGTTAGAAGGGAAAAATAGTAAAAAAGAGGGATGAAAAGTGAAAGCATAAATAAATGGTAAATAAAAACATCAAATACCACAATATCCTGTTTTTCATGTGCTTACTGTAGAGAAGCTGCAGTGATCAATGCCTTCCTCCTGGAAAAGGACAGCATCCTTAATGAAAATGGCAACAGCCTTTAAGATGAATGTAAAAAAGAGCTGTACATGGATATAATTCCTGGGACAGCGAAGCCTTCTGGAAAAAAAGAGAGGTCCCTCTGAGGTAATTAACTTTGTTGTGCTGGCACTAATTAAAATAAACAATAAACCCTTTTTTTATCTCAGGTACTTCCAGACACATTTAAGAAGAACATCTTGATCCACTGAGTTCTTTCAGAGAGAGGCAGAAAACTTTCTCATGTGAAGGAAATCAGCCACAATCTACATTTTTATCTCTTTACTTGTTAACCAGAATCATAGGGTTTTTTTCCTTACTTTGCCAAAGTTACTTTGATTAATTACTTAAAAGCATAGAAGAGCTTTAAAACAATTTGTCACATCTACTTAAATTCAATTTGCACATCAACTTTAAATTCCATTTACACATCTACATTAAATTCCCAGTTAACTAAGATTAAATTTTTGCTGTTATTATATACAGATTTTTGAGGGTGTTATATACTTCATGCTTTCATTTGGAGATGAGAACTTGAGTTAATAATCAAAAAGTTCCACTAAAAGCCAAATTCCACCCAGACCCAGTAATCTGAGGGTCGCCTAATCTGAAAGTTCACCTGGAATGTGCAGAATTTTATTGCTGACCTCAAATGTCAACCCCATTGTTAATTATGACTTTTTCCTCCCTATTACTACGCCTCCTTATGTCCATTGTTTCTTTCTTTCCCCTCATTTGGGCTGGTTTGTTTTCCTGAGGTCAGAGTGGATGTCAATAAACGTATCTGGTGGCTTCCAGACATGAACTAGGAACCAGCAGAGGTCAAGAAATTTTCCCTAGAGAACCCTGATTCTCACAGCATAATAATAAAACTCCTGCCTTCTTTTTTTTTCGTCTTCTATTTTTTTTTTTTTGTCTCACAGAAATACAAGAAATAAAAAAATTAATAAAATAAATCCCACGTGGTGGCAAATATTAAATCTACATGAAATGATAAAATACTTTAAATGCTCTTAATTAGACCTGAAAATATCTATAAATCTGTGTAAAATACCTAACTCAGTAAGAAAGAATTCTCACCAAATGTGACCAAATTCTGAAACTAACTTTAAAACATGTCTTTCATGGTAAAAGTTTCAATAGTAATCTATACAATGCCACAGGAGCACTCATTCAGAATCAGGTCCTTTGTGTACATTATGAGAAATTCCTTGGAGCCATAACAGGCAGGCATGCATAGTTTATGAAAAAAATCTTCATTCTAGCCTAAAGCAAGTAAATTTTTCTGTTGGTTCCTCAGGATCAAAGTGAGTTGCTGAGTTTTGCCAAGAGACAGCCTGGGTGTATTTCCCAGATTTGAATCTTTGTATTCCTGACTCTCTCTGATGCCTTTTAATTTTGAGCTTCAGTTTCATGTTATTTAACCAACATGGCTGGAATTTTTAATTTTTATTCACCTGAATTTCTATTTCTATTATTTTGTTATGTCTAATGTTGTCTTCCACAGTGTAAGAAATTAAGAACTGTGAAAATAATCTTAGTTAGAGGATGCCTTTACCTGAATGCAATCAGAACTGTCACAGCAATGATGAGGGAGGTGATGGACACGCTGTATCCCACAGTGTAAATTATCTTTATAGTAGCAAAGTAGGATTGCTATAAAAGAAGAGAATGATTTGTCATACAAGTTGCTGTTAAATGACAGCTTTTTTACTGATTTGTCAGTTTTGCTTTGTTTGGTGCTTCCATTCTGTTGACATCCCTGACTGCCTTTTTTTCCCCCTCTTCCTTCCCACAGCAAAATTCAACTTAAATCACTCATTCTGTTTCTTTTTGTGTAATCCCATTCCATAGTTGTGTGGTTACAGCCCAGTCTGATGCTGAAATATGTATTGATCTGGTAGTTTAAAGCTCATTCACAAAAACATAAAAACCCATACCAGTCTTCAAAAAGGCATTGTTCAAAATCTTACACAATTTTTATAAGTGTTGTGTTCTGTTCCATGTTTTCTCCCCAGCAGTAGCAGCACAATGCTGCTGGCAGAATGATGAATACAGAATTCTGTCATCTTTTCCCTATTTATCTCCACTTTCCTGCTCTCTGCTTCCCTACTTCCATTTTTGCTGTCTATTCCTCATTTCAGTTTTTGTTGTGTTGTGGTGGGTTGTTTTGGTGGGGTTTTTTTTAGAATTTTTGGGGTTTTTTGGGGGTTTTTTTTTGTTTCTTGTTTTTTTTTTTTTTCCTGGGGTTGTTTCTTTCCTCTGTTTTTCTTGCTGCCAAACTCAACTGCTGCTCAGTTGGAACGCCAGTCAAAATCCATTTCAATTTCAGTGGTTCCTCTCTCAGACACAATCCCTGTGTGAGGATAAGCTAACTTCAACTATCACAGATGAAAGCAGAAAACAGAATGAATAAGCTCTAGGCTGCAAATCTAACTCCAGCCTAACATGATCTGTCTCTGGGGTCCCATTTCAATGCTTTTATTACCTAAAACCTGCACAGCTGTGCAGTGCATTCCTACAGCTCACTTGGGGAAGGGGACATGCTCATTTTGAGCCTTAAGTGGAATTTTAAGCATTATAAGACTGACATTTATTTAATTTATTAAGGTGCTTAAAAATTAGCTGCCTAAATATGAGTCTGTAGTAGAACGAGAAGAGCCTGGCCACAGGGCTGAGCTGTTTAATTATTAATACAAACCTGTTTTTTCTCATCCTTTTTCTTTTATAGTTAGTGAAGGAAAACACTCTTAGAAGACAATCCAAGTCTTTAGAAAATCAGACCTTATTGGTTTCTGTGACCCACAAAAAGGATCTACCACAACAACTGCCTTGGAAAGAGCAGGTCATATAATTATAAATCCTTGATTGGTTTGGGTTGGAAAAGACCATAAATTTCATCTACTTCTACCTCGGGGATTAGTAGAGTGAAACATTTTATGCCAAGGATTTTGCATCCAAGTGTGCAGATTTATGATTATCCACAGTCTGATCCAATGGGCTGAGCTGTTGTTACTGCTCAGGGCACAGCAGGTGCACTCTGAATTTCCCTTCCAGTTCAGTTTTATCCATAAGAAAGCAGATTATCCTTTTTTTTATCCATAAGAAACCTCATTATCAATTTTATCCAGAAGAAACCAGATAATCCTTTCTGAGAGCATGCCTCAGTGTGAATGCAGTAAGTGGGGACAGCCAAGAGATATCCCTGGAAAATTCCCACCTGATCCTGACCAAAGCACTAAGACAGACCCATGGTGCAGAGATTAGCTCCAACTTTCACAGTATTCTTCTGAGACTGATGAAGTTAAATGGGGTGGAAACCAGGTATAATGGGGTTCAAAAAAAAATCTAAAAAAAAAAAAAATCTAAAAAAAAAAAAATCTAGTGGGTGAAATGTGGGTTTTAAAGGATTACCCAAATCCCTGACTATGCACAGTTCCAGCCAGAGCTCACTGAAGTATCTCAGAGCTCCAAAGCTTGCCAGGAAGTCTGGATGCACCACTCCATGAGAAACATCAAAACTGTGCTAGGCTGACCATAGCTGGCAACACATCAGATGTGTAAAACAGAAAATAATCAACTCCTTAAGTGGGTAAACTTACAACTGAGGAGTTTCCTCTAGGTAGAATAATGGAATCATGACAGAATGGATTGGAAGGGATCTTAAAGACCATCCAGTGCCACCCCTGCCATGGGCAGGGGCGCCTTCCACTATCCCAGGTTGCTCCAAGCCCTGTCCAGCCTGGCCTGGGACATTTCCAGGGATCCAGGGGCAGCCACAGCTGCTCTGGGAAACTGTACAAGATCTCCCCATGGTGATATGAACCAGGTGTTATTCTTATTAATTAGGGGTCAAGCACTATATTTTCCCTGTGCCTGTAACCTCAAGAAATCACCAACAATGAAAATCTCGCTGAAGAAATATGTCAAATTCTGATCTACATTACAGAGATTACAGAGATTTTGGGACATTTTTCCATTGTTGAATTAGATATTTAATGCAGGATGAGACACCCAAAACCCCTGTTTTCCTTAGATATTGCTAAATTTGGAACAGTGATCTTTTAACAGCACACTTTCTGTACAGATGCTGTGATACTACAAATTCATCTTGCTGATATTACTGAAAATTACTGTTGTTTGCTGATATTACTGCAATGTCTTAATTCACATTTTATGAACATTTTGTGGTACATCTTTGTCTATTATACTTGTGCATTTGCAGCTGGCTTTGTTATTGTTACACCTGAATGCTAAAACATTCTCAGTTATCTTACAAAATAGGTGGCCAGAGTAAAATGGAATTATATCCCATTTTTCCCTCTTCAGGAATAGAAAGGAATACTATAACATCAGCACACCATCCACATATATTTATATAGTTAAACTTACTTCTTCAAGAGGAATCTCATCCTCTACTGGACAGGCCACATGGTAGGGAGGGAATGGGTCAGACCAGCCCTTTTTTGTACAGTTTCTTTTTATCATCCCAGCTGAAAAAGAAGTATTTAATTTTGTCAGTGAAGGACAAAATAATATAGAAAATAAAAGCCAGGAGAAGACCCGTGGCTGGTACAAAGCTGTACCAGGAGAAGATGATCATTAGCAGCTCACAGAGTCAGTAGGACAATTTTCCTGTGCACATTCAGGTCATCAGATACAAAGCTTTTTATTTTATTTATAGACAAACAATGGGAAGAAGGGAGAGAAGGAAGAGGTGGGAAGGACTAAGGAAGGAATTATATCAGGCACACTGGAGAAGATTGGGAAGCACTGCTCCATAAATTTCTTCTCTGCACAGCACTCACCCTTCCATCATATCCCTTCTCATTCCCACCTCCCCTGGGGCTCACTCTTCACTAGCAGATGAAAGCTGGGATAAGCAGCCCTTTCCATGCTTCCACAAAAAAATATTCATGAGTCAGATGAAGGAGAAGTCGAGAATCCCAGGGCAGGAAATGAATGTGCACAGATGAAAGGGATTTTCCTTAGCCCTCGTTTATAACTAGCATGTGTTGGATGTGGCTGAGGTTGGGCTTTGGAGTTTCTTTTTCTTGTGGAACTGCCAAATCCAGGTCTTTCCTGGAAGGTGGTTTGCTCCTTGTGGGCTCACATTTTGTTACTGGCCATGCTCAGCCAGAGAGGGAGCAGACAGAAAGGCATTTGTTTGCAGTTTTGCAGCACATGTGCTGCTCCAAGGCCTAAATTCTGCTTTGAATCTCCAACTGTGGTCTTAAAGAACAATCACATTGTTCATTCCTCTGCCTTTCATTTTATCCCACACCAATCACAGCATAAATCTCAAGAAACCCCAAGCTTAAGTTCTGACCTAGACAGCCTCCAGGTGAGCTTTGTAGGAAACTCACACAACAAACTGATCCCAAAGCATGTGGAAACCAAGGAATTACTTGTGGGATTCACGTTTTCTGGAAAAATCCCTTCACCCGGGATTTTTCTCCTGGGAAACTGAGAAGCATGAGAAAAAAGATAACAATAATTATCTCGTTTGCTTCTCCTGTGTTTTGCTCCTTTGGAATGTGTTTGGAGATTGTTTACCGACAGGTGATTGTTTCATTGGTGTCTGGTGTGAGTTGTTTTCACCCATTGGCCAATCAGGGCCAAGCTGTGTTGAGACTCTGGAAAGAGTCAGGAGTTTTCATTATTATCTTTTTAGCCTTTTGTAAGTATTCTTTCTGTATTCTTTAGTATAGTTTAATATAATTCTTTAATATAATATAGTATTATAAAATAATAAATTAACCTTCTGAGAATATGGAGTCAGATTCACCATTCCTTCCTGCCACAGAGGTCCCTACAAATACAATAATCACTTGTTGTATTTCAGTATATTTTTGATCCAGGACCTTATCAGAGACTATGGAAATCAAGCCCAGTTATGGGCTTGATCCTTAAAATATGAGAAGAACTGCTAATCCTTAAAATATAAGAAGAACTGCTTTAGAAAGTCTCTCAGATCCTCCTAAAATCTTTGCAGTACTTCCCTGATCCAGCTCCTGGGAACATGAAATTCTCTGTCTCCACCCTCACTTTTCAGAAATGTTCTTGTCAGACACAAAACAGGAGTAACCACGGTAGGACATCACCTGGCTCCTTCATGAAGTGAAAGAGGATGTTTGGACATGGTAAGGCAAGAATCTCTCCAGCATCTGCCTCTGGCCAGCACAACAATTTGTCCCAAGTTCTCTTGCAACCTCAGACAGAAAGTAAAATATATTTTTAAGCATGGTTAAATTTGAGCAAAATAAAACCCCAAACCTTTTTAACCTCTGCTACTCCACCCCTTCCATATCTTATAAAAATAGTTTAGCCACAGTTTTTATTATGAGAAATAAACACCCCCAGAGTGCTATTTAATCTGCTTTAGTTAGACCCCTGTGCTAGACTGAGGTGAGTTTTCAGAAATAATGCAATAAATGAAGAGTGAGGCTGGAAGAAAGATCACATCTCTATAATTGTTCAGGGGTTTCCCTATTTTTAAAGATCAACACATCCTCACAAACAAGCAAGCATGGTGCCAAGGAATTGGACATGGTCACAAGGGTTCACTCTGATAAATATTTGAATGTGCAGAACTGTGGAAAAATTTTAAAATGGGAAAGAATGGGAGTAGATTGAGGAAGATCTGACCAGACAACAGCACATGGGAGCATAAATAAAATTCTCATTTCCTTTGGCAGCCTGGCCATGTCCTGACTCTGGTCCCTTCCCTCTCCCTCACACATGGATGGATACCTGGTGATGTTGCATTTCCATGCTCTTGTGGGGCCTCCAGACATTCAGCCTCCTTTTTCTTCAGCTCCACCATAAAATCACATTCTGGGTGGACATTCCCAGCAACCTGCAGGGAGGACAGTTTTGGGGGATTAATTAGAAGGGATTAGATGGGATCTCATCAGGTATGAAGCCCAGACCTACTTTTGCATCTAACAGGGTTTGAAGACGTAGAACAGTGCTCAGGGTTTCCATCCAAAGGCTCCTACTGTCTCTGCACAAGCTGGCAGTTACAACTCTGCACTGGAAAGTTTATCAATTCTTCTGGCTACATTCAGAATAAAAGATCTCTTTGCTAGAGCCGGAGTTTTAATGCAGGATTTATTTGCACCCCAACTTTAGCTAGACCCTGTTAAATAAGGCCCCAGAAAAGCACACTGCCCCTGATCAGGCCCATTTTCTTACCAGTGCTGCAGGAAATGCTGCAGAACGTGAGCACAGACAAAGCCCTACCAACCTCCAAAGAAGCATCACCATGAAATCACAGACAATTACTGCAAAACTGTCGCCTGAAAGAGCTCCTCACTCCAAAAGGAGTGAATCTGTTCTCTCCCTTCTGCCATCTGCCTTTCTCTACACAGGGTGGGAGGCAAAACTCTTTGTTGGGAACAAAAAAGCATTCTGCACCAAAGCATTTGTTGGTATGATGGTGTAAAGAAAAAAGTGACTCCCAGGGTTTTAATAGCAGGACACATTCAGTTGTTTAGTCCTTATTTAGACTTATAAGGGAACCACAGAAGGATCTGAAGGCATCCAGAGAACTTTGGGCAGCAAAGGACAAAATCTGCCCAGGCTGTTACACCCAGGATGCTGAGGATGCACCACTGGGCAGGAGTGCACAGGACTATTTCACACAAATTAAAAAAAATGTGCTTGTCCAGCCTTAACCTCTGTCCCTAGTTACAAAAGATGAGTTGTGATCTGAGACACTGACTTTTAGCTCTTCACCCTGGCCACTGGTGCTGGTGTGCTCTGCATTTGTGAATATAGACACAAAAACACAGAGACAAAACAGAAAATGAACCCAGGATGAGACTTGCATGGTGAACAGGTGGCTGGCATATGGCTCAGTTTTCTTCCACCCATAGAAGATTAATATTCAGGGAATTTGGAAAGTAACTCTCTGGCTTTCAGTTCATTCAGAGGGCAGATTGTGTCCTTTCCAATAAGCTGGTCTTTCCCCTCCATGTTAATATCCATGTCTCATGTTGGCCTGCAGAGCATTTGAACTGCATATTGACCAAAAATTCAAGGCTCTCAGACTGCTGGAGAGCAGTGGATTAATTACACAACATTTGTTTTTCTGGGATTTGGGCCCTGGTAGTTAAAAATGTCATTATCTCCACATGTTTGCTCTGCAAGATCATCTGCTTCTCATTTACTGCCCTTTTAGGAGGATGTGGTTTTCCTGCCAGATTTGCAGAGAGCAGTGCCATGGATCAGTTTAAGGCAGCAGTGAAAAGCAGGGC